CGGGCAGCTCGAAGTTGCGCACCCTGCACAACGACTGCGCCCCAGGCATATGAACTGCGCTGTTCATGCCGTGGCCTGGACTTGCCGCGCGAGAGTTTCAGCAGAAACCAGATCAACCGAGCCCATCGAATATGACAAACCTGCGCAGCGACTGCGCCCCAGGCATCTGGTCAGCCCCGATCTCGACCACGTGCGCTCAATGCGACCTCGCGCTGCCCCGAGAAGCCTTTGCACATGACCAACACCGGTCTGCAGCCGGAGTTTGCTGGGACTGTGATGCTGGCGGACGCCCACACCATCACGACGAGCCGTTCGTGGTCGGCGACATGACCCGGAGTTCCCGCATTGCTCAGCAAGCTTGTTCCCATGGCAGCCCTTCCCGCTCCGCTGCAGCACCGGCAGGTGGGCTGTCTCCCTCCCCGAGTCAGTCCCTTTGCCCCCTCCTGCCTTGCTCACCCTGTTCCAGTCCACGTGGCCTGCGACCGATGCGACGGGGCATCCGCTCCACGATTCTGGCACGAACGCTCGACGCCTCACGGGCTTCACCGCCGCCAGCCGCCGTTACAGCAGTCTGTTCGCTCTGGCAGTCCACGAGACTCAGAGCGGTGGTGCCGCCAGGGAACCACGACTCGGAAACTACATGCGCCCGTCCAGCCTGCGCATGCATGGCACGATGTGCCGAATGCTGCTGACAGCACAGGATAATAAACTGCAGCACGGTACCTCGTCATCGACCCTCAGCGAAGAGCCCGAGCGGCTGCGGCTTTGCATCTGGAAACTCAGCTCCCGCGGCACCTCGAGCGCCTCCTGCTGCTCATCAGCCCGCTCATGGCCGAAGCCAATCGCCATGGGGGTATTGCCAGCCCAGGCCCCGACGCTGCTGCCCATCTCAAATGGGCGCCGGCATCAAGGAGTCTGCTGCCATCGTGGACGCTCAAATCCACGGCCGTGCGGAGCCGATCACTGTCCCATCCCGACTGCGTTCTACAACTGCTCCTCGATGTCTTCACCCACCAGATTCGCTCGAGTGCGCTCGGGCCGTTCCGCGGGTGGCGCGGAGACGTCTGCCCCCCTCCGCCGCGCGGCCGGTGCCGGACGGCTGCCCTTCTCCAGGGATTTGGCCGGCTTTTCGCGCAAGAGTGGCCCTTCGCCAGAGCGACCTCTGGCGCACGGTTTCCGAGCGGCGCGGGGGGGGGGAACCCCAAGCACGCAGGCCGCCCTCGCCGCGCACCGCATGCCGCGAGCGGCAAGCCGCGCACCAGAGGCCGCTGTTGCCCAGGGCCACTCTCCGCACGTCGCCACTTTTGTGAGGGGGAGGGCCGCGCGCGAGAGCGCGAGGATCACCGCGCCTCTCGTGCCTCGCGCAGCGCGCGGAGATGCGTGGCCCGGGTGGCCGCCGCCGGCCCGCCGCCCGCCGAGTCGCCGCGGCGCCCGCCGCGCGCCCGACGCGCGCCCGCCGCGCGCCGCGCAGGCGGGCCGCCGAGGCCGCCGAGGCCGCCGAGGCTTGCCAGGCCGGCGCGCTGCTGCCGACGGCGGCCGCACGGCGGCGGCGGCCGCGGCCGGCGACGGCGACGGCGACGGCGTCGGCGACGGCGACGGCGACGACGGCCTTCGCTGGGCGGCGGCGCTGGCGGCGGCGGCGGCGGCGGCGCCGACGGCCGCCTCTCGCGCGCCCGCCGCGGCAGCGGAGGCGCGCGCGGCCGCTGAGGCGGCGCTGGCGGCGGCCTCCGCGGAGCGCGAGGCCCGCGGGCCAGCGTGTCGGTCGCAGCGGTGTTGGGCTGCGCTTGGAGCTGGGCGTGCGCGCGCGGGGGCCATGGGCGTGGCTGTGCTGCCGCTTGCTCCTGGTTGGCGGCCGGCGGGCGAGGGGGGGGGAGTGAGAGGAGGGGCGGGCCCTCTCGGAAGGCTTGGAGGTTCCCGGCCTTCTGAGAAGTGTCCTTAGCCCTTCCCGAAGGCACGGAAAACCTTTCAGAAGGCGCGATGGCTTCTGAGAAGTCCCGTCGCCTTCTGAGAAGGCCTTCTCCTGTTCATTTCCCCCCCTCGTCCGACGCCGACCTCCTTGGCTACGCATAGGAGTGATGCTTCGTTGGAGTGGCCTTCCGTGCGGGACCACAGACCCCCCCCGAATTGCTTGGCGCGCTTGGATTTGGCCCCTCCGCGGCCCTCCAAGGCCGGGCGCACCACAAGGTCACCCTTGGCCAGGGTCGTTCATGCGTGGCCGGGCGTATTCGTAGTGCCGCCTGCTCCTCGGCTGCCTGCTGCCGCCCGCTCTCCCGCGGCAGCCGGGCGGGGCAGGTCAAGCTTGAGGGCGGGCCGATCGCCCCCTCCTGATCAGCGCTCGTCGGCCTGGTGGAGAGGAGGGGGGGGCTAGAGGGAGGGGAGGGTCATCTTTGTAACCTCGGCTTGCAGTTGCCCTGCGGTTTCGAGCCGGTTCTGGCCTTGGCTACGCGTCCCGGCTCTGGCCGCCGACCGACCGATCTGTGGCCTGTATCGGACCTGGAAGGCCCTGGCTAGCCAGGCCGCATCGTGGCATGATGATGCCAACATTGTTGGGCGCCCCAGCCCCCGGAGTCCAAGCCCGAGTAGCGCGCCCTGCTCACTCCTGCTGTTGGCTCCTCTTAGCAAGCGGTCTTCCGGCTTGGCCTCGTCGCCAGGGATGCGCGGTGCGCGGCTGCGGAGACGTGCGGCCCCCCGGGGCGGAGATTGCTTTTCACCTTCACTCGTCATTGCCATCATCATCGTCATCGTCGTCATCGTCATCGTCATCATCACCATCATCAAGGCCATGCTGCTGATGATGATCATCGTCATCATCATCATCAAAACCATCATAAGCATCATAATCAGAGTCTGCATCAGCAGCATCGCATCACCAGCATCATCAATGGTAAACTAGATTCGCTCATCTGCAAGTGTACTCAAGTAGATCAGCATACGTACATATATGAAACTATCCCAACGTAGTTTCGAACAGTGAGTGGTGAAAGCCGATCGTTCCATTCGTATTCTGGGTTTGGATTGAGATTCTGTGTATATTTATATTGATATACGTATGGCTACTGAGTTCGTAGCAATGCAGCATTCTGATTGCGCACACACGCTGGCGCGCGCGCTCGCGCACGGACATACGGTGTCAAAGCCACCATGGCGGCGTGTGTCTATCACCATACCTTTACAAGCGCATGTTAACATTGAAATCCAATCGGGCACGACTCAGTGTTGATATATTTGGTTTCCACCACCCAATTTTCAGGGTGGCACGTGTCATCCCAGTTTGTTTCTTTCATGGTGTCGCGCGCGCAATAAAAAATGCTGTCTTCTGAGACCCAGGATGCAAATTACACAGGCATGCACGTGCCATCCTTTCCTATGTGACGCCGCGCACGCAATAAGAAAACTATCGAATGGCGTTTGGCCCATCCCGCCACCATGCCTGGGTTGTGGGTCAAAGTTCTCAAGAATCTGTTTTCGGATCTCTTCGGGGCGCTCTAGGGGGCCTTTTGAGAACCTCTTGGGGGCCTCTTGGGAGCCTCTTGGGGGCCTTTTGAAGGCCTCTTGAGGGCCTCTTGGGACTTCCTGGGGGCCCGTCGGGGCCGAGGGCTCGAAGTGTCCGTTCGTGTTATATGTGTCCCCTCTTGGGGCCGTCTTTGTGCCCTCTTGGGCCGTGTTGGGCGCCTCTTTGGCCCCTCTCTCTCACACTCTCTCTCTCTCTCTCTCTCTCTCTCTCTCTCTCTCTCTCCCTACCTCCCTCCCTCCCTCCCTCCCTCCCTCCCTCCCTCCCCCCCTCCCTCTTTCTCCACTTCTCTCTCTCTCTCTCTTTCTCGGGAGTGCCCTCCTCCTCCTCCTCCTCCTCCTCCGATCCCTTCTTCATCTCTCCGTCTTGGGACGTGACGGCTTCCCAAAGCCTTTGTTCTTCCCCTGCAGGCTTGTCCACACCCCTGCTCGGGGCAATCCCCATTCGCTTGGGCATCGTTTCTGGATGGCCTGGTGGGGTTGTGCGACCGTCCATATTTTTTTATCTGAATGCACTGCTCGTGCCCGCTCCTTTGTAGCAAACCGTATGTGTCACCATTAGCTTTACGCTGTTCCAGCTGGAGGAAGGAAACAGTGGGAAACTTCTAATGTACACAGACGGGGGTAGGATGTACACGTGGTGTGTACAATCCTTGGAACGCAATCAACAAATACAGCACGTGCCCCGGATCTGACAGGAATATCTTGTTCGTGCGGTTACAGGTATTGCGCATCATTGCAAGTACTGCGCGCGCTTATCATCATAGTTCCATCAGGCTACATAACGCTAGTGTGTAACATATGTATTAATAGTCATCACCACGATCGTGTAAGATATGGTTTCGTAGTCATCATGCTAATCCGAAGCGTCATCATAGTCATCTTCATCATCAGTATCGTCGTCACCAGCGCCACCAGCAACGAAGACAGCAATTTGGTTTGGGGTTGGGTTCGCACGCCTCGCGTCGACGTTGGCGACCGCGCGTATCTGGCAACACTGCCAGACCGCCAGAGCGTCTGCCAAGGGGAACCAAGCTCTTTGTCCCTCCTGCTCTCGATGTATCTTCGTCTCTCTCTCTCTCTCTCTCTCTCTCTCTCTCTCCTCCCCCTCTCACCCTCCACGCCGCAGAATGCACCTATGCACCACCATGCCTGGCCAGGGCCATCCTGGGCCCCAGGACAGTGCGTCGACGCTCGTGGCCCTGGCCAGGAGGCCATATGCACCATGCCAGGGCCCAGGATGGCCCCAGCCAGGCATGGTGGCGGCGGTGTGATTGGTGCCCTCTGCCCTCTGCGGACGCATCCCCCCGACGCCCCCCACCCCTGCCCCCCCGCCTGCCTCGCCCGTGCCCGTCCTTCGGCTCGAGCAGACATCTTCGGCGCCGCGGGCGCCCACTGCACCGGACCGCCGCCATGGGAGCCTCCGTGAGCACCATGGACGGGGCGCCCTGCGCCGCCCGCGCCCTCGCCCCCGCCGGGGCGGGCGCGAGGGCCCCGGCCTTCTGTGCCCCTGCGCTGGCGCCCGGCTCGGGCTCGAGCTGCTCCTCGGTGCAGCCGCCGCGGGCCCTGCCCCGCCGGGCGCCCGCGCCCGCCCGCGGGGCGGCAGCTGGGCAGGGCGAGGCCGGCGGCGCCGGCGGCGCCGCCGCGCTGGCGAGCGCCTGCGGCGCCGCGTCCGTGGCGCTGGGGGGCGCCCGGCGGCGCAGAGGCCTGCCTCGCGCCTGGCGCTGCGGCTCGCGGGTCGCCAGTCGCGGCCGGGTCCAGGAGATCGGATCGGCTGCGCGTCAGATGGGCCATTCACCAGAGTGGCCCGTGGTGCTGGTCCAGAACGGGGGGGTCCCATCACTGGCACGAAGCGGCTTGCTCGCTTGCATTTGGCCCCCTCGCGTCTGCGTGCAAGGTCACCTCTTGCGCGCAGCCGAGAGATCAGAGGAGGAAAAGGTGCCGACATTGCTACGCTGCCCTCGTCGTCGCGGCTGGGTTTCCCTTCGAAATTGTGGTCAGAACGCACCTTCGGATAGGGCTGTCGCGTAGCGATGTCGATATTGGGCTGGCCTCCGGCCAGTGCCGCCGATCCGGGGGGGCTCCGGAAGTGGAGTTTTCTATACTCCCTTGTCCCCGGGTACCGAAAAACGTCGGAAATGACGTCGGAAAGATCCCCGTGTACCGAAACACTTCGGAAATGGCGTCGGAAATAGCGTGCCCCCCCCCCCCCCCTCTCCAGAGCGAAGCTTGAGCGAGCTCAAGTCCACGCTCTCAGAAACTCACACGCCGGATCGGCGGATTTCTTGGTTCCCCCCCAGGAGCGGGGCGCGGCCAGGGAAGGGCCAGACGCCCGCATTCTCAAGGCTTGGGCTCGGAGGTTGCCAGAGGTGCTCCTGGCCGCAGGCTGCTGTCGCTGAGGTCTCTAACGCCGTCTTGTAGCCCGTGGGGGCCCTCCAAGGGGGGGTGCTTTGGGAGCTGTCTTGTGCCTTCCTGGAGAGGCCCTTCTGGGCCTCCTCCTCGTCCTCTCTCCTCCTCCTCCTCCTCCTCCTCCTCCTCCTCCTCCTCCTCCTCCTCCTCCTCCTCCTCCTCCTCCTCCTCCTCCTCCTCCTACTCCTCCTCCTCCTACTCCTCCCACTCCTCATTTTGGCTCAAGATGCTTTGTTGCGCAGGGGAACGCGTGGATACCGCTAGTCCGCGGCAGGCAAGGCTGCTCAGCTGGGCAATTCTTTTATCGTTCCTCCTCTCAGTGCCTGCGCCATGGCCCCTGATGCTGCCGCGCGTGATCGGGACGATGCTTCGCCCGATGGTGGGAGCTATTGGAGGGCCAGCGATGCTCCGACCGCTTTCGTGCGTCGGACCGCAGGTGGGCCAACGAGCGGGAGGCGGAGAGGCGGCGGGCTGCTGGCGGGCACGATCCTGGCGGACGCGGCCGCAGGCAGCCCCGCGACCCCCGCCGCCATCAGCGCACGGCATCGATGCTCCGCCAGCACATGGAGGAGGCAACTGCCGAAGTGCGTTCTGCGGGCGTGGACATCGACCAGATCGCGACCCTCCCCGCCCAGGAGCCGCGGCGACGCCTGGCGGCCCCGTGGGCGGCCGCGCGGGGCCCAGCGGTGGTTCGACGTCGGCGGGCCCCTGGAAGGCCTGCCTGGGCGCAGCCGGTGGGGCGATGGCAGGCACGGCTGCGGTCCCCGCGCGGCGCCATCCGCCTGCGCACGCGGTTCCTGCTGGCGGCGGCGCCCCGTGGGCGGGAGCCGCAGGTGGCGGCGCTGGAGGAGGCGGGGCACCTGGCGCCGACCCGCCCCACGCGGGGCTGCTGGGCATCGGGTCGCGGCTGCAGGGGATCCTCCAGCCCACGTCGCGCTCGCTCACCGCGGGCCTGGCGGACTTCAGGGTGGCTGTGGAGGGCCGCATGGGCGCCGTCGAGGCGAATATGGCCACGGTCCAGGATGACGTGGGGCAGCTGCGCCGCGAGATGGAGGAGCTGCGTCGGGGGTTTGTGGCGGGCCAGTCGGCGGAGCCTGCGCCGATCCCGCCTGGACATGCCTGGTCGCGGACGCCTGACCCGTTTCGTCCTGGTCCTTTCGGCGCGTGCTGGGTGGCGGGGGGCGCCATCGAGGGCATGTTTCGCCCGCTGCTGGCCGACGCCCAGGTTGCGGCCACTGGCGAGACGGTGGCGCTGGAGGGCGAGGTGATGGCCCGGCGGCGCATCCTGCGCTTCAAGGGAGAGACGGCGGCCACGCGCACGGGCCGCGGGGAATGGAGGCGCTTCTCGGGGAATGGAGGCGCTTCTCGTGCCGCACCCCAGGAGGCGAGCTCGTTGAGGTCCCTCTCTGGGGCCCGACAAGAATAGGTCCCAGATCTCGCACGAGCTGACCCTCGAGAAGCCCAAGATGGCGTTCCTACCGCGCCTGGGCGAGGGCCGCGTGCCCCTGAACAAGTCCGAGGCGGCAATCAGCGAGAACTGGAGGCAGTTCGCCAAGGTGGAGATCAACGCCCCAGCACCCCCGCCTAAGTTCAATTGGAAAGACAGCAACCTGGCGCCGCCTCGCGGGCCGGCGCTGCCGCGAGCTCGACGCGGCGGCGGCGGAGGCGCAGGCCCGGCCCCGCCAGCGCGCCGATGGCGAGGGGCAGGGCGGGCGGGCAGCCAGCGAGCTCCATCGTCTATGCGGACAGCAGCGGGCGCGGAAGCGGCGCGCGGCGACGAGGTCGCCCTTCGCTGCGCGGCGCAGCGTTGGCGGCGTCAGGACGAGCGCGACGCCGTCTCGTCGCCGCCGGGCAGGGCGGCCGCCCTGGTCCTCCACTGGGGCAAGGTCTTTGGCCTCGAGCCGCAGTCGACCAGGCGAGCACTGGCGGGCGATGGTCGGACGGCGCCACATCTAAGGCCACTCGCTCGATCAATTCGACCGGGTCTCGCTGGGCGATCTCTGCGGCGCGCTCCTCGGCCCCTGGCGATCCCCAGGGCGATCTCTGCGGCGCGCTCCTCGGCCCCCGGAGTCGACGGGCCCCCGGCGCGGACGCGGGGCGCCCGCCCCGCCCTGGCGGACACCCCGGCGGCGGCGATTCCATCGGCAGATGGGCGGCCTCCAGTTGCGGATCGATTTCAACGACCCCATCCTGATCCGCCCGCCGAAGGGGGGCGAGCAGGGCGACGTTCTGGGGCAGCCTGCCCCCGGGCGGGCAGAGGGCGCGAGGCCCCTCTCCCTGCGGGGCCCGGGGGCGAAGATCATCTCCTGGGCGCTGAACTCCAAGTTGGAAGGGGCCGTCGCGGCCACAGTCCGCTGGACTCGGCTCGGCGTTCTCGCGGGCCGCAACTTCTGCGAGTACTTGGCCGCGGAGGGCGCCCCCGCGCGGATGGCTGGGGCGACGGCGCAGACCTTTCGCGGCGACCCTCTCCCCGGCGGGCCCCCCCGGCGACAGTGGGCGGGACTCGCCCGCGGGCGCCCCAGGACATGGCGGGCCCCCTGATGGGCCCGGGCGCGGCGCCGGGGCCGGGCGCGGAGGGGCCCGGTCGCTCGATGTCGCAGCGCCCAGCCCGCGGGCTCGAGCACTCCTGCCGGCCCGCTCCGCTTGTCGGACGGGCGGCCCGCCTGGCGGGCGCGGGCGCGGTGGGCCCGCGGACGGGCGCGGGCGCCGCAGGCCCCCTGGCGGGCTCGGGCGCGCAGGGCTCTGGCGGGACCGCGTCCGACATGCGCAGTTGCGGCCCTGGCGCCGGCGATCGGCTGCTCGACCTCGGCGCGGCGGAACGGGCGCAGGTGGGCCCCGTCGAGGTGGGGGGGGGTGGGCATGCCGAGGCCGATGCCATGCAGCTGCGACTACTCCAGAGCCTTCCCGTCGCTTTTCCAGGATTGGCCGCGGCGGGCGCTGGAGGGTCGGGGCACCCCGCAGCTGTCGCCCCTCGGCCTCCAGATGCAGCGCCGCGAGGCTCGCGCGCTGGATGCTGGGCCCCTTCGAGCTGAACGTGCCCGGGTCCGTTTGGGGAGTGCATCATGAAGATCCCGCCTCGGGGCCATTGTTCGCGGTGGGCGAGCACCCCTCCTGCCCGGGCCTGGCCGAGCGCCTGGGCGCGCGGCGCCGCGGCGCGGGCCGCTGGCGCGCGGGCGATTTCCTCACGGCCACGCTGCAGCGGGCGGGCCTCCGCGCGGTGGCCAAGGTCACGCGGGCCTCCGCGGCGCTGGCCAACCTGGCGCTGAAGGAGGAGAAGTGCGCCCGCGCGCCGCTCTGCCATCTCATCCAGAAGGCGGCGCCCCCGCATCGCTTCGACGGCGAAGGCGCCGGGCATTCCCGCGCGGGCGTTGAGTGTAAGCTCGGACCTGGCCCAGATGCTGGAGCTGCCGCAGCGCCTGCCGAAGGCCGAGCACCGCGCGCTGGGGCGGCTGCTCGGGGCCCCTGGGCGCTGGCTGGCGCGGACGGACTTCGCCGCGCTGGGCGCGGCGGCGCCCCCGCCCTTCATGCTGCTGCAGGACCTCTGCACCGCGGCCCGCGCGCGGAGGGCGCTGGAATCGCTGACCACTTGGGGGCCAATAGTAGCGGGGCTCCAGCAGGCGGCGGCGAGGCGCCTGCCCTTGCAGGCCCTGGGCGGGCAGCGCCCCGGCGGGCGCGGCCGCTCCTGGCGGCCCTCGCCGAGGCGGCGGAGCTCCCGACGCAGCTGCCCAGCATGCAGGGGGCGCTGCTGGAGGCCGAGAGCCGACGCGCTGAGGGGCGGAGGCCCCGCCACCAAGCGGCGCTCGCGCGGGCCCGTGCGCCGGCGGGGCGCAGGGCCGCGCTCGCGGCGCGCGTCCGCAAGCGCCTTCGAACATGGTTCGGGCTCCCTCCTCGCTTAGTCGACCTCGACCCGGTTCGGACGTTTTTGTTCGCCCCTCCCCCCCCCCGCGCGGCGTTGGGTTTTATTTTAAACCTGGACGGGGGGGTGGGCTACGGACACCCGATTCGGCAACACCCAGTTCGGATGTCCCCTTGGCCCCCCTGGGGCACCCTGACCCATCATGTTCCTTGCTGTAGACTGGACGCTTTTCTGGTGCGGGTATCGGTGCGCCCCATTCCTTCGGACCCGCTCGTTGGCCTTTCCTCGTCGGCCACTGCCCTGACGCGGCTCGAATGATGGTGATGCGTCATCATATGCACCGACACATTCACGCGTTCCGAAAGAGGGGCCGTGGATGGGGGCCGGATAGTCCGTGTTTTGATTGTGCGCGGGCTGCCCGTGCGGCCACGGATCTCCCCAAAGGTCGCCGCGGGCCCCCTGTCTCTGCCCCAGCCCGCCAACGCGCGGGGCGCGGAGCTCTGGAGAAATCGACCTCATCCGACGCTGGCCCCCCTCCGCCTCTTCCTCCTCCTCCTCCTTTTCCTCCTCCTCCTCCTCCTCCTCTTCCAGTCCTTTTCCGGATAAATCAATTATCCCTGTCGTTCTCCGCAGCAAGTTTCTAGGGCGGGCCAGCCGCTTCGCTTGAGAATTCCTCACCATTTATGAGTCCGGAGCTTAAACCATGGCAGTAGCTTCGCAGATGGAGGGTGGGTCGTTTTCAAAATGCGGCTCTCGCCTTAGCGCCGCGCGCATTCGTTTTAAATTTGCGCAAGAGCTTCACGGATTGAGGGTGGGTCGTTTTTAAAAGATGGCTCTCGCGCCAGTGCCGCGCACATGTTTTGATTCGCGGGTCGAGAGCGAGCCTCTTCCGGTCGAAGCCAAGCGGGCCGCGCACAGCTTTATTACAGAGTAAGGGAAAAAGAAAGCGGGGCCTCACGTCAAGAAGCCATGAGAGGGCAACGCCCCGGGATCAGGCGGTGCAGAAAAGGGAAGTGCATGCAAAGGAACGCCTTGGACGGGAACCCGTAGGCGAAGTACCGGGTGATGAAGAAATGGTGGTGTTGCCGTCAGCGGCGCATCATGTACACCAGCCCCATAGATTCAGAAAATTGCAAGAGCTTCGCGGATTGAGGGCGGGTGGTTTTCAAACTGGCTCTCGCCTTGGCGCCGCGCACACTCGTTTGAAACACTTGCAAAAGTTTCACGGAATTTGGGCGGCTCCTTTTCAAAATGTGGCTCTCGCCTTAGCTCCGCGAACATTTGTTTCAAAATGTGCAAGAGCTTCACGGATTGAGGGCGGGTTGTTTTCAAAATGTGGTTCTCGCCTTAGCGCCGCGCGCATTCGTTTTAAACAACAGCGAGAGCTTCAATGATTGAGGGCGGGGTGTTCAAAAGGTTGTTCTCGCTACCACATTCATTTTAAACATACGCAAGAGCTTCACATATTGAAAGCGGGTCGTTTTCAAAATGTGGCTCTCGCCCCAGTACCGCGCACATTCGATTGAGAAAACTGCAAAAGCTTCACGGATTGAGGCCGGGTGGTTTTCAAACTGTGGCTTTCGCCGTGGCGCCGTGCACATTCGTTTGAAACATTTAAAAGAATTTCACGGATGTGGGGCGGCTTCTTTTCAAAATGTGGTTCTCGCCGCAGCGGCGCGCGCATTCGTTTTAAAAGCTTGCAAGAGTGTCGCGGATTGAAGGCGGGTGGTTTTCAAAATGTGGCTGTCGCCTTAGCGCCGCGCGCATTCGTTTTAAACAATTTCGAGAATTCCACTGATTGAGGGCGGGGGGGTTCTCAATGTTGTTCTCGCCTTGGCGCCGCGCGCATTCGTTTCAAAAATTTGCAATAGCTTCGCGGATTGAGGGCGGGTGGTTTTCACAATGTTGCTCTCGCTTTGGCGCCGCGCACATTCGTATTATGAAATTGCAAGAGTTTCATTGAGTCTCATGATCAACGTACCAGAAATTGAATGTTGTAAAGATTCAGGCTTATGCGGGTGCAAGAGTTGTGTTGTTTCGCAGTGTTGAAGTCCCCTAAACGGCCTTTTGGCACGGTTCCAGATCGTCAGGACGCAGCAGTCAGCTTGATCCGTGGCGTGGAAATCCCGAGGACAATGTTTTGGCATGCTTCAAGGTCTTCAAACGGTTGTCTTCCAACGAGGCAGTTCCTCCAATGGCAATGAACCGTTGTAAGGGCCTACCGAGAGGAAACTTGTAGGGAGGGTGAATTATAACATCGTTGATGATTCTTGGGTTTGCACTGGTCCTCCTCCTCCTCCTCCTCCTCTTCGCCCTCCTCCTCCTCCTTTTTCTTCTCCTCCTCCTCCTCCTCCTCCTCCTCCTCCTCCTCCTCCTCCTCCTCCTCCTCCTCCTCCTACTCCTCCTCCTCCTCCTCCTCCTCCTCCTCCTCGTCTCGGCCCTTGGGGCCGTCTGGGCCTCCCTGGAGAGGGCGGGCCCACCCTGGGCCAGGGCCACCCCTGGCAACCGTATATACCCGCCTGGCGGCGCGCCGGAGGGACCGGGGCAAGCGGGGTGGCCTTCCAAGGGGGCAGGGAGCTTCGCAGATCTGGGCCGGGAGGGCTTCCAAGCCGCCACGCCTCGCCCCTCGCCCTCGCCAGCCCCCTCGCCCCCTCGCCCTCGCCCCATCCCCTCCGCCCTCTCCTGGAAGGCCACCCCCCTCCATCGCCCTGGCCCCCCCCCCCCCCCAGCGCGCCGCCCCGAGGTGGAGGGCGCGGGGGCCGGGCCGGGAGCGGCGCGCGGTGGCGCAGCAGAGGCGGGGCCGCGGGCCGGGGCGCGGGCGACCCAGACCTCCGGCCACTCGACACGTCTTCGCGCCGCGGGCCCCGGGGGCCCTCTCGCGTCCCCCTGCAGGGGACCCAGCTCGTGTCCGTGCCGGGGGCCGCTTCTGCGATCGGGCTTCCCCCGCCCCCCCAAGGGGCGCTCGGGAGGAGGCGGCCCTCCCCGGGGGCCGCCAGAGGCGAGCAGCGCCCAGGGCGGGGCGGGGAGATCTGCTCGCCTCGCCAGGGGTCTGGGACGGGAGGTGTGGTCTGGCCCACGGCGTCCCTGCGCCTGCGCGAGTTCTCGCGCCGAGGACGCCCCGCAGCGGAGCACCGCCCCCCCCCGCCCCCGCGGGGTGAACACCCGCGGGGGTGGAGCATCGCGCTGTCTCGACAGCTTCTGAGTGGCTGCCTGCAGTCCGCCCCATGACTCCACACCTTCGAGGGCCCGCGAAGCATCCGTCTCCCCGCTTCCTGTCGCCGCCCCCCGTGGGAAGAGCTTTTGCACGCGGGGAGAGCTGCGTCCTGCAAGTTCTGCCCCGTTGGCCTCCTTTCCTCTAGGAGTGTCGGGCAGATTTGAGCGACACAACAAAACGGGGTCGTCTGCGCCGACACTCGCGCGTAAGATCCCGCGCAAGGTCGCGCGCAAGCGCGCACGTTTCAAATGTAGCGTGCCGCGCTGGCCGCCCGCGTAAGCCACCGCCTAAGGTCGCTATGTCATCTCGCGTAAGACCCGTTTTGTGATCGTCGCTCATTTGGTGCTGCCTCTGGGGTGGGGCTCCAGCGGCCCTGGTAGAACGCGGCTTCGGTGACAATGTATGAGGACCTTGTGATCACGTCGTCTTGGGATTCACTGCCGCTTCCTGTGCACGACTCCAGTGGGAGCGTGAGGCCGCTGTTTTTCACCCGGATAACCTCACTGTCTGTCGGGCAGATTTGGTGCTGCCTCTGGGTGGGGGGCTCCAGCGGGCGTGGCTAGACGCGGTTCTGGTGGCAATGCATGAAGGCCTCGTGGTCACATCGTCTTGGAGCTCACTCCCGCTCCCTGCGCACGACCTCTCGCGGGAGCACGAGACCGCTTCTCTTCACCCCAATACCTTTTCCGTTTCTTGGCGCCCTCTCCTCCTTGCCTGCCTCCGCGGCCGCCCCTCCTTCCCTCCCCGCATCTCCTTGTGAACAGTTCGCGCTTCGGCGACCTGCCTGCTGCTCCGACCGCAGGCCAAGAGCACACCTTGGGGGTGCAAGTTGTGGGCGCCCCGGCGTCCAGTCGTAGCGCCTGTCCGCATGGCAAGCTCATCGCCTCATCGGTTGGTGCCACACACGGCAGCGACGCGTCGCTGTCGCAGTATGCCGCGCGCTCCGATGCCGTCCGGCGTTGGAGAGCCGGCGGCAGCGAGGCATGGGACGCTCCCGTGTGGTGTCGAGTGCGAGAGGTGAGACTTCGCCTCCTCCTCCTCCTCCTCCCTCCTCCTCCTCCTCCTCCTCCTCCTCCTCCTCCTCCTCCTCCTCCTCCTCCTCCTCCTCCTGGGTCGATGATCGCTTCGCACCGGGATGTCCTCGGGGTTCCCCTTCGCCCTGGGCCCAAGGAAGGTGTCCAGCTGCTCTCCTCGGCACGGTGTGGCGGCCGACCTGCCTCTGGCCGCCCAGCTTTTGTGAGGCGGCTGGCGACGTTCGCTGTGCGACGGCCGTGTGCGTGGCGCCGCCTGCCCCAATCTGAGCTCTCGGCCACTCCCCGCCACCGCGCCACGCTGCTGTCCCCTCACGGCCTCCTTGGCACGCCCTGTGCGCACGCAGGGCCTGCGTTTCCAGCCTGGTGAAACGAGCGAACGCGCGGTGGCCCGGCACGGCAAAGGGCCCTCCCCCGCAGCACCCTCCGCCCCCACGACCACCCATGTCCCATGCGCCGCTCGCCGTTGCGCTGAGTCGGCAGCTGTGAGGTGGCGGCGAGGCAGTTGCGAGGTACCGGTGCAATTTCAAGTCGGCGGGCGCCAGGGTGTACGTGGCCAGTAGGAGGCCCTCGTCTTCCTCGCCGCTGCATCTAGCGATGCAGCGCTGCAGGGTGGCGTCGCTGATCGAGCAGGCAGACAGCTGCGGGGCAGCAGCGAAGAAACCGCCGTGGCAGCCGAGAAGTCGCCCAGAGTGGGGCAACAGGCACGTACTCGCGAGGAGGAAGAGGAGTGGTGGTGGTGGTGGTGGTGGTGGTGGTGGTGGAGGAGGGGGAGGAGGAGGAGGAGGAGGAGGAGGAGGAGGAGGAGGAGGAGGAGGAGGAGGAGGAGGGGGAGGAGGGGAGGAGGAGGAGGAGGAGGAGGCGGAGGAGGAAGAAGGATTGGTCAGCAGGTGCCCACTGGAGCGACCCTGGTGCAACCGCGGAAGGGGCTGCTGGGAGGAGAAAAAGCGGCATCAGCAGTTGTTCGGGCTCCGCGCGGGTTCTTGGATCGGCGCTCTGGACCCCTGGGGCGGCGCCTCGGGCGATGCCCGCGAGGACCTCCGAAGTTTAATGCCTGTGCAGCTGTGTGTTTCTCCTCGCGCCGGCGGGCCCGGGGGGAAAAATGCAGAGGGGGCGGTCCTGTCAAGAAGGCCCGGGAGGCCTCCAGCCTTCCAGGAGAGTTCGGAGCCTCCTCCGAAGACAGGGGCGGCTTCTCAGAAGGCACGAGGGCTTCTGAGGAGCCCCGCCGCCCTCTGAGAATGCCCGGCCCTCTCACCTCCCCCTCTGCGCTCGCCGCCGAAAGGGTCCTCCAGGCGAAGCGATTTCCTGCAGGGACCGTCTCGCCGTGTCCGCAGGGACTTTACACACCGCCACACTCATTGACGGTACACGTAAAGTTCGCCAGGGGGTGTCCGTGTATGTATGGTCCAGGGTCTGGGTCTGGCCCCCCCCCCTATCATGCTGCTGCCATCGTGTCCCCCCCCCCGCGCGGCGATGCCCCCCCCCCCCCGTGGGGGTGGTGTGGTGCTGTGGGTGTGGCGTGTGTGGCGTGGGACTCTGGTGCTCCAGGAGAGCTCCGGAGGTCGTCGTCGCCGCCGCCACCGTCGTCGTCGTCGGAGGGTTCCAGAGGTCGGCGCCACCGCCGCCGCCGCCGCCGCCGCCGTCGCCGCCGTCGTCTTCGTCGCCGCGGTCGTCGTCGTCGTCGTCGTCGTCGCCGTCGTCGTCCTCGTCGTCGTCGTCGCCGCCGCCGTCGTCGTCGTCGCCGTCGTCGTCGTCGCTGTCGTCGCCGTCGCCGCCGCCGTCGTCGTCGTCGTTGTCGTCGTCGTCGTCGTCGTCGTCGTCGCCCCCCCCCCCCCTCCTATCCAATCAGGGGGGTGGGGGGGCCGAGGGGCCCTGAGATCCATCCCCTCTGCGGGGGGTGGGTGACCCGGGGGGGGGGGCCGTGGGCCCGGAGCCCGGGATCATGATCTATTTTCGTGCCGTGTCTTGGTCCTCCGGCAGGCGCCCGGGGCAGAGCCGGAGCCCCGCAGCTCGGACCCCCTGTCCGCCGCGCTGAGGGTGCTGCGGGCGGGCGTCGACACGTTCTTCGAGCTGGGCAGCACGGACTCGAAGAAGGATCTGCGATCGATTGGAGGGCGTTTCTCTGCGGCGGGGGTGCTTGTTAAGAAATGTGCCCAGAGGGCTTCAGATCAGATCCTGGGAGACTCCTGATCTGATGAGGGCGGCGAGGATATCCATGGCCAATCCACGATTGGAGTTTCACCGGCTTCCAGGCCCTGGGTTCTTTTATCTTGGGGCTCCTTACCCAATGCCCTCGGCATTCCCTGGCGATACCGGGCGTGACCAGGGGGGGAGAGGCGGAGGAGGGAGAAAGTCACGTCACGACTCGCGCCAGCGCCGCCTGGGAGCCCCTAGGAATGTCGACGGTGCGAAGCGTGACATGCGCAGAGCAGGGGGGGAGGAGGGAGGGTCTTGGCTGGTCACAGGTGTTATCGCAAATAATCAAAAACAACGGGTTCTCGCCGCTGTGCGATGGTCAACTACCCCAAGTGCGACCCCAGATATGAGAAAGCAGCCACACCAGCAAAGCCGGCAGAGATCCTGCCAAGCACCCAGTTGTTGCGCTTGAGTTTGGACGTTGATCGATGACGCCTACGGCGAATCACCGCCGCCCCCTGCCTTTTTGGAAGCGCCTATGTGGCCGAACGTTGAGGCCAGACCTGCCAAGCTATCGGACCACGTGTTCCCCGAATCGGTTTGGAAAGCCTTCGGGGAACACGTGGGCATCTTGAAGGTCATCTTGGCCGTCTTGGAGGCCTCTTGGGCAAGCTTTGGGCGATCTTTGGGGCTTTTTGGGCCGTCTCGGGCCAGCTTCGAGCCAACTTCGGCCATCTTGGTGGGTTCCTGGCACGTCTGAAGCCGTCGGAAGCCGTTTGGGGGGCCTCTATGGGCCGACTTGGGGCCCGCTTGGAATGCTCCAGGGCCGTCTTGGAGGCCATCTTGGGCGTCTGGGAGGCCATCTTGGGCGTGTTGGAGGCCTCTTGGGCCCTCTTGGGGCCCTCTAGGGGCCATCTTGGAGGCCACTTGGGCCATCATGGGGCTCTCTTGGGGGCCTCTTGGGCGATCTTGGGGGCTTCTTGGGCCGTCTTGAGCCGTCGGAGAGCCGAAAAGGCGCAAATGCCAAAATCCTTCAAAAACCAATGGAAAATCAATGATTTTGGCCTCTTCGGACTCTCCTGGAGGACCTCTTGGAGGCCTCTTGGGCCGTCTGGGAGGCCTCTGGGGGGCCTCTTGGGCCGTCTTGGGCCGTCTTGGACTCTCTTGGGCCGTTTTGGAGGCCGTCTTGGACCATCTCGGGCGGACTTGGAGGCCATCTTGGGCCATCTTCGCGATTTTTTGAGGATGTCCCGAGCGAAACGGCCGTTTTTGGGCATTGACAGACGCATTTTGGGAAATTTACGGGTGGCCGGCGGGACGGGCCGAAGCCCACTGGGGAGTTCTTTTAGAAAAAGAACCAAAACCAAAACCTGAATCATCCAGCACGCCGTGCACCCCTGCAAGCAGGGGGCGGCGGATCTAATGGCCTTCGGCCCATCCCGCCGCCGTGCCCGGGTTGTGGATCTGAGGCCTCGCGGATGGTCGCTGGGATCTCGTCGAGGCTTTTCGGGGGCCCCTTAGAGGCAGGTGTGAGGCCTCTGGGAGGTTGTTTGGGAGCCTTTCGGGGCCTCTTTGGGGCCCCTTCGGGCTTCGTGGGGGCCTGCTGGGGCCTCTTGGGAGAGCCTCTTGAGGGGCCTCCTGGGCGCCTCTTGGGGCGGAAGGCTCGGATTTTCGATTCGGGTTTCCCTCTCCTGGGGCCGTTTTCGGGCCCTCTTGGGCCGTCTTGGGCGCCTCTGGGACTGTCTTGGGGCTCGTCTGCGTCCAAAGCAGGTCGTAAGGACTTCTCAGGCGGAGCGCTAGCTCGAGCATCCCACGGGGCTCAGATTGCGAGAGGAGGTGGAGGAGGAGAAGGAACAGGAGGACGAGGAGGAGTTCGAGGAGGAGGAGGAGGTGGTGAAGGGAAACTGGGGAGGGATGGCGACGAGAAAGGAGGGCACCACCATGGCATCTCGGGTTCGCCGAGGCAGGAAATTAGGCCAGGCGAAGACGAGATGGGGGAGCGAGGCGAGCGAGCGCAGGCGCGAAGCCACTAGAGAGGGAGGTAAAAAACACGAAGCAACAAGCCAGGCAGCTCACCGAAGACGAAGCCAGAAGCAAGCGGCATCGGAAGACTGGATGGAGAGGGCGAGGCTCGCCCCTCCACTCCCCCGAGGTCGGGTCCTCACCCGCCTCAAGGGCTCCAAGATGTGTGGTGTCCTTGCTGGATGCAGGGCCCGAGCAGGCACCCCAGAGACGGGACCGCGGGGCCGACGGTTGGGCCCTTGCTCCACAGCGGCGGCAGAATGCAAGGGTAGACCCAGCAGGGGCGATGGCGTGGCCTCCAGCGCTGGGCGGCCCGACAGGGCCGTGAGCGGGGAGGGGGAGGTCGGGAAGGACGGCATCTCGAGCGACTCAGGACTCCCTTTGCCGCTGGCCTCCAGAGGCCTTGTCCCTCTTGGGGGGCAGCTCCTCCCTGGGACGCCCAGGCCTCTTGGCATGGCCTTGGCGGGGCGGCAGGAGCACCAGCCCGCGGCGCCTTCCGGCGCGGGCCCCCGCGAAGCCCCGCTGCCGCCCTCGCCACACTCCCCTACCGCCCCTGGCCCGAGCCTCGCCCGGAGGGGAGGGCGGACGCCTGGGCTCCACGCAGCCGTGCACCGCCGTGCGGCCTCTGCAGAGGGCCAGCCAGCACGCGCCCGCGAGGTCGAGATCTCTCTCGGCTCGGCCTCGCTGCGGAGCCTCACCCCTTTGTAACGCCAGGAGCCGCTCGGGACCCCTTGGGGGCCGAGGGCGGCGGCTCCGCAGCAGGCTCAGGCTCCCGAGAGCCCCCGACCTCGGCCACAGAGGAGCCGTCACCAACTGGCGGGGACGGGGCCGAGGCGCCGCCAGGCGCGGTGGGGCCCACGTCGGGCTCCACACCGGCCCCATCCCGCGACGAGAAAACATGGCCCCGCAGGGCCGCCGCCTCGGCCACGGGACAGGTCAAAAGCTGAGGCTGCGCGCTCCCGCCTTGGGAGGCGGCAAACGCAGGGCATCGATCACACTGCCAACGGTTCCGTTTTCCTCGAGGAAGAAGGCGGAGGGTGTGAGGGAGCGGAGGCGGCGCAGGCGCCGCAGGCGGCGCGCAGGGGCCGTCAGATCCCTGGGCCGCCGGCGGCCCGCGCTGCTCCCTCCACCGTCTGCGGAGCTCCGCGGGGCGGCGCCTCGCGATCTCGACCCCGTCGGCAGCGACGGCGCCAGTCCACTGCAGCTTGAACGCGCCGGCGATCCATGCAGCGGTCCAGCGCGCGGCCGTGATGCTGCACCACGCGGTTCGGTAGGTCGTGAAGCTTGCGCCCGCGCTTGGCCACCTGGTCGGCGAGGTCGTTGCACCTGCACTCCCACGTGTCATCCTGCTGGTGGGCCCGCACGTGGGTGAAAGTGAGGAGCGCATGGCCCCCGTCATCGGCCCTCTCAATGCCACCGTGATCCTCGATGTAGTGCCACAGCCGCTTCCATATGTCGACATTGTCGCGAGCAGCCGCCGTGCACCACCTCTTGCCTCGAGCGAGGCCGTCGATGAAGGGGAGGTAGTCCGTGTAGACGTGGAGCGGGACCACGCCTGCAGGCAGCACCTGTCGGATGGCGTGCAGCTCCGCGCTGGCCGACGCTTGCCGTGGCTCTGGCAAAGGGCCGAACACGGCACCGCGATAGCTGCTGTCGCCCACGGAGACGAAGCCCCAGCCCGCGCGCGCCGCGATGTCCCAGGAGGGGAGCTTTCGGCACGACCCGTCTGAGAACAACTGGCTTGTGACCACCAGCTGCTCAGCACGAGCTCCACAGGCCCCCGAATCATCTCGAGCAGGAGGGCAGGTAAGGAGGAGTTCGGGTAGAGGGCCCTCGTGTAGAGCAACTCCCCAGGTGGTGCAGCAGCCGCCGCCAGCAATGCCGCGTCGTCCACGGCCAGCTTGCGATACTCGTCCAAAGCCGGACAGCACCCGTCCATCATCGATGGCAGGTACCTGGCACCCCTGCGCACCGATGGCAGTCCTGACTGGAGGCGCAGGCGTGCTGGTACAGGCGCTGCTGGGAGACATGCACGCCAACAGCAGCAGTGCGAAGAGCAGCACGTGCAACGGGGTCGAGGGCCCACTTCTTGGCCTTAGCGCCTGCCGAAAGCAACGCACGAAGAGGAGCAAGCCAGACACCAGCAGGACCCTTGTGGGACGGTCCAGGCACTTCAGGCACGACGTCGTCGCGCTGCGCCCAGTAATTAAGCCCACTCCACCGCCTCGTAGTCCTGAGGAAGGAGCCACTTCACGACGGGCGGCGAGGTATCCCGCAGGTCCAGGATCTCGCCCGAGCGCGTGCGCACTGCAAAGGCAGATGAGCCAATCCTCTCAAGGTGCTGCATGAAGCGCGCGAGCGCGCCCGCCGGGCCAATCACGCGTGACCAGTTGCGGCGGCCAGTCGCCGTGACCTTGAGAACATGCGTCTGCCAGGCTCGCTGCATCGCATGGTGGGGCGCTTCACCCGCGTGGGCCATGCAGGCCCAATTGTGAACGTGTCCGACCACAGCAACACACACGCGGGATGACTGGCACTGCCGTCCAGCTGCGAGGCGATCCAGGGCGAGCCGCCCCGTGGCATGGAGGCCCGACCGCGCTGCACTGGCGAAGCCATCTTGGCGATCGCGCGCGGGGGGGGGCGCCCGGAGCCCCGAGGCCGCAGGCGATGGCAGGCCCGACCTGCAGCACGAGCCTGGCATCGCTCGGACGTGTGCATTTTTCCTTCGGCGAGGACCATCGAGGAGCATCCTCGATCATTTGGCGGAAAAGCCACGCACGAAACCGAAAAAAGCACGGGGAATGGACGTCCGAGCGATGGCCAGCGAGCCACCCTCCCGACCTTTCAGGCCGAGGTTCGCAGGCCTCCGACAGTGCCGCCCTCGCCCGGCCACGCTGCGCACACGCTGCCGCAGCGCACAGGGGGCGGGGGCGGGCCTGCC